TGAAAGTATTCTAATGCTTCACATAGTTCTGTCAGTTAGTCATGTCTTTATGTATACTGTATATATAGATAATAGGGATGCAACGATGACAGTTTTTCAGGATCGAGTACAAGTACCGATATTTTTTTTTCGGTACTCGCTGATACCAATACCAGTGCCGTGTGCCCAGTGGTGTATTTAGGTTTGGGGCTGCCCTAAGCAAGACAAAACTCGGGCGCCCCCCCCCTACACACACACTAAATTTACCCCACCAGGCTGTGATCTTAGGTGGGCTCTACAGGGTCTGTGGTGGGCTCTATATGAACTATGGTGGGCTCTGCAGGGTCCCAGGTGGGCTGTGAAGGATCTCTGGTAGCTACATGGTCTGCATCCGACAGAGATGCAGACCTTGTAGCTGCTCCCGCAAGTCAGATACGCGGTCCTCGACCGCGTACCTGACTTGTGAGCTGGCTGCCGGCCACAAAGTACCGGCTCGCGGGCCACGGGCCGGTACATCTGCCGCCCTGCCGGAATCTGCCGCTCGAGGCAAACGCCTTGTTTGCCTCGCGGCAGATACGCCCCTGCGTGTGCCCTGATTATCAGGAAGTTGGGCAGCGGATCATGACCCGTCGACTGGCTTCCTGATTGCCTGGGAAGCCAGTGTTCTATCGAAGGAACACCGGCTTCACTTTCACGAGGCTGCCTGCCTGGCTTTCTAACCAATCAGGAAGCCAGGCAGTAGGTCATGAGGTGCTGCCCAGCTTCCTGATTGTTCATGAATCCAGGCTGCCTAGCAACAAGTGAAGCCGGCTTCCTATTTAGGTTAGGCGCACACCTAGGATTTGATCGAGCGATATCGTGCAAAACACAGATGCACATTGAAGTCAATGGAGGCTGTTCACACCTTTGTGGTTTGTCACGCGGACGAAATCACCTGTCGCGCAAAAAGGTGCAGGAGCTATTTTCGGGCGGTAGTGGCGCGGTTTGGGTCCCATAGACATCTCTATGCGACAATCACACGACTTTCAATAAACAGTCGCGCGATCGAAGACGCGCGATGACCGCACGAAAACAGCCCAGCATCTGAATCGCCTAGTTGTGATCCTAGCCTTAATCAGGAAGCTGGGCGGCACATCATGATCAGCCTCCTGGCTTCCTGATTGGTCAGGAAGCCAGGCAGCCTCGGGAAGTGAAGCAGGTGTTATTTTGATAGAACACCGGCTTCCCAAGCAATCAGGAAGCCGGGAGGTGGGTCATAACCCGCCGCCCGGCTTCCTGATTGATAAAGGAAGCCAGCTCCATGCTGCCTCGGCACTGCCGGTCAGAAGGAGATCTCCCTCTGACTGGAAGTTCCGGTATCGAAGGTAGGCATCGGGGCATTTGGGCGAGTACAAGGATAGATAGATAGATAGATAGATAGATAGATAGATAGATAGATAGATAGATACCCTGTTTCCCTGAAAATAAGACCTACCCCGAAAGTAAGACCTTGCACTATTTTTCAAGATTCCTGCAATATAAGACCTACCCCAAAAATAAGACCTAGTTTGGTGGTAGCATGTGAGGGGGAACTTGAAGAGCAGGAGAGATGGTATCAGCCTGTAGGGACATACTGTATTAGGGGATGACAGGGGACTCCCTCCGGCCGGCGCAGTGACAGGGAGCACTCCAGTACCATACTTCACCAACTGCTGTCCCCCTGAAGGCACTGCTTAATGTAATGGTACTGTACTGTAATGTGTGTCAGTAAATGGTACTGTACTTTACCGCGCTGTCCACTGTCCGATGTCCCCACTGCTGCACCGCTGGTACCGCTCTCCCTGATGGCAAAGGAAGCCGGCGCTGTAGAAAGCAAGGCTGCGGCGGCGGAGGGAGCAGAGCCGCATTAGCCGATACTTCCTCTATATCGCCGGTTACTCTGACAGGTGGAGTGATACCAGATAACTTTAGATCGTTGTACATGTTGTTGCACATTAAAAAAACAAGACATCCCCTGAAAATAAGACCTAGTGTGTTTTTTTGGGGCAAAAACAATATAAGACAGTGTCTTATTTTCGGGGAAACACGGTAGATAGATTTTTGTCTTCATTATGTAAAAGAGTTGAAGGTCAGAACTTGCGGCTGTTACATATTTTCATTCCACGTTTCAGTCCTACGTGTTCCATAGAGAAATACAATTTTATTACTATTCTAAAGATTGAAGGGGAAATGTCAGCAAGACAAGAACATTCGAACCTGTATCAGTTCACAGGTTATATCCAGTGATATATTTTGCTCTTTTCTTTTCTTGTTCATACAGAATAAAACACAAATTCAGTATTATATAATAAAGGGTGTCTATGGTAATAAATAATAATAATAAATACAAATAAATCTGTTTTTCTGTATGGAATTTCCATAAGTTCTATCTCACTGCTATAATGATGATAATGATTATAATACAGGATTTAGTATATAGCGCTCTACAACATTTGGGGAGACAATTGCAATACAATGCCCCACAAAAGGATTAGAGGACCCTGCTCCGTTTGTCTCTATATCCATCTAGAACAGGGATAGACAATCTTGGCATTCCAGCTGTTGTGGAACTACAAATCCCACGAGGCATTGCAAAACTCTGACGGCCACAGGCATGACACCCAGAGGTATGACTTGTAGTTTCACCACAGCTAGAGTGCTGAGGTTCCCTACCGCTGATCCAGAGGTTTGTAAACTTGCTTATTGAAGATGCTCATAGGATGGACTTCCTCAATGCACTGACACCATTTTTCTCAGCCCTGTGAATATGCACTTCCTGGTGTCACCTCTTTCACAAAGCCCGCCTTCTGAACTACAACTCAATGTCTGAACAATGTAAAATCATTATTACTTGCTGGAAGCAATGCGTGATGGGATATGTAGTCTTGAGAAATGGGGATAGCACAACATCAAGCAGCAGGAGAAGATGCAAAGCACACTGGGAATCCAGGAAGTTGTTGGAAGTGGTGGGCAGACGGAAGGCAGCGCTCACTATATAAAAGGGATTTTTTTCAAGTAAGCTTTGATTGTATTATCAGAAACAACTACATTATGTATTCCTATTACATATGCTTCTCTTTGAAGCATATGACAACTGTTAGGGGTTGATTTATAAACAATTTGCATATGTTCTGAGTGTAATATTACATTATGGCCACTAGATGGAGCTGGTGAGTATTTAAAAAATGCATATTTCCTAATGCTCCTTTAGCACCATCTAGTGACCCTAATGCAGCATTACAATCAGAACATTTGAATTTATTTACACTTGTAAAGGAAAAAAACAAAATAAAGGAATGTTTGTTTGTGCATATATTCGCACAGCACAAACATTTACAGATATTTGCAGGGCAAACATTTATAAATCGACCCCTTAAATTTAATGAAAACTTTAACATGTAAAACTGCCTCAGGCTGCCTCATTATGGGGACTGCCTTGTTGCTCAGGCACATCCGGTTGTAGGGTGACAATGCTCTGTCGCTGTATACCAATTGTGCTTCTGTGTTGTCACCTTGTGTCGTGGGCTTCTGTTGGTGACTACAACGACTGTTTCAACACACATTACACAGGCATGCTATCACCATCAACATCTGCTGGTGTGCAAGTGGAGAGGAAGTGGCTGTAAGAGGCTGCTGGTGATCAGAAGCACTGAGATGTAACTAATGAGGCAATAATGTGAAATAATGTGAAAACAGCATTTTTATTTTAAAAAAGGGCAATTGTTTGACACAGTGCTTTAGCAAATTAAATGTAATTTAGGGTTTAACAGCAGCGGTGGTTGTAGGCACCCGACATACAATGAGGAGTGTTGGATGCTGAAGATTCTGCCATTCTGCCAATTTTTTTGCAGGATTTAAAAAAAATGTTTTTAATATAAATAAATATAATTTTTATATTTAAAATACCTTATAATCCTGCCATGAATGTCCTTGTCCAGGCACTTCCTGGGGTGACTACCCTCAAAATACCTAATAAATAATCCTGCCATGCATGTCCTTGTCCAGGCACTTCCTGGGGTGACTACCCTCAAAATACCTAATAAATAATCCTGCCATGCATGTCCTTGTCCAGGCACTTCCTGGGGTGACTACCCTCAAAATACCTACTAATCCTGCCATGAATGTCCTTGTCCAGCACTTCCTGGGGTGACTACCCTCCTGTCTAGGGCTGCACAAACGAATCGATAATAATCGATGATGAGAATAGTTGGCAACTATTCTCATCATCGATTAGTTGGTTGGGAAAGGAGAGAGAGAGAGAGAGAATATTTTATTATACAATTGATTAGTTGAAAAAATAATCGGGTAACGAATCGATTATGAAAATAATCGTCGTTAGCTGCAGCCCTACTCCTGTCATTCCTACCAGAGGCTATATGGTGGCAGCGATGCCCACTCATTGCCCAGACATGCACTGCCATTGCCACCCCCAGAACAATGATGTGCCACCATTGCTGGAAGTGGCTGCAGGACATCAGCAACACTGACATGCACAATAAATCTGAAAATTGCTATTGCTTATTGTAAATTCTGCATTTGCAAACCAAATGACATCCATTGAGGGTTTGGAGATCTTTCAGGCTCCTATTACATGTTGCCCTTCACCAGTACTGTTCACATCCTGAAAACCTTGCTGTGTCCCTATTATTCTGGAGCAGTTGGCAACAGTGGCAATGAATGCAACCCCCCCATCAGAGTCCCATTCCTGTTGTAATGAGATAATTTACAACCCCAACTGCTAAACTGTAACATATGGGTGCTGAAAAGCAGCACACAATTCATTTTTTATTCAAGACATGTGTGCAGCACAACAGATCAGCCATGCCATACAGTAAGTGTGCAGTGGAAGGCTCCAGGCGCAGTGGATGGGAATGGTCTGGTCCAAGCTCCGCAGAAAGGCAAGAGCATTAGGTGCCATCAGTGGCATTGTGGTGGCAGCTCATAGGGGGGTCTCCTTCTACCAGAGCCCAGCTGTGCATGCCATACACAGGAGGTACCAGCAGCAGCACAGAGATGGGGATGATGGGGAAGTAGATCTGCAGCAGTGACTCATGAGGAGGAGGACAAGGAGGAGGAGGCAGCAGCCATACACACACACTGCACACACATTGCACACACATCCAGCACTCCAGCAACGTGCAGAGCCCAGCACTGCAAGGTAAGCAGCATGCCAGCGCTGCCTGCCAGCCCCTGCGCCTGGAGCAGAGCTGTGTGTGCCACCTCCCCTGCCTGGGGGTGCCAGCTAGATGACCCTCTGCAGGGATCAGGTACCTTTCCTGGATCCCCTCTGCCTTCTGCAGTCACGTTTTACACCAAAACAAAAGGCAAGGGCAGGCTTTTGTTCCAGTGTCAGCCTGCTGGCTGTCTGCAGATGTCACATCAATAGAGGGGGACGTTGTACAGCATGCTGCATGGAGGTTTGGGGGGGTTTTCACTGCCAGGTGCATGGCACGATGTGTACCTGTCACTGATCATGTCTGCTGGTCTGGAACCTATGGCTGCACAGGAGCCTTGTGTCTATTGCTGCATACTGTATAGGCAATGCCTGGTGCTGCTGGTACAGTAACAAGCTGAGCCCTGTGTGTGCCTGGAGGGAAGAGCCTGTCTGCAATCTCACTACATTTATGTAACAAGCTTTCCATCTTTTCTCTATGTATTGCTACAGTTCGATTTGTTATTTATTCCTGTACACAAATGGATACCATGTATTTGTAAATAGGCATGCAGATCTTTGCTCTATGGCTATGTGCAGGCTTTCGTGTATGTGTATTTTTTTTTTTATTGTACAAAAACAAGTAGACATACATGATTCAGACATATATGTGCATATATAT